TCCTGGCCAACATGGTGAACCCTGTCTCTACTAAAAATACAAAAAATTAGCCGGGTGTGGTGGCCGGCGCCTGTAGTCCCAGCTACTCGGGAGGCTGAGGCAGGAGAATGGAGTGAACTCGGGAGGCAGAGCTTGCAGTGAGCTGAGATTGTGCCACTGCACTCCAGCCTGGGTGACAGAGTGAGACTCTGTCTCAAAAAGAACAAAAAAAAAAAAAAAAAAAAAAAAAAAAAAAAAAAAAAACCTCATGCTAAGTTACAGAAACTAGTCATAAAAAACAGATTTTATTCACATGAAATACCCAGAATGGGTAGATCCACATAGGAAGTAGATGAGGGGTTATCAGGAGCTAGGGAGACATGGGAGTGGGAAGTGACTATTAACAAGCATGGGGTTTCTTTATGCAAGTGCTGAAAATATTCTGGAGTTAAGAGGGTCGTGATGGTTGCACAATTTTGTAACCATATAAAAAAACTGAATTGTACACTTTAAAAGGGGTAAATTTTATGGTATAAGAGTTATATCTCAGGCCAGGCACAGTGGCTAACACCTGTATTCCCAGCACTTTGGAAAGCCGAGGCGGGTGGATCACCTGAGGTCAGGAGTTCAAGACCAGCCTGACCAACATGGTGAAACCTCATCTCTATTAAAGTACAAAAAATGAGCTGAGCATGCTGGCAGGCTCCTGTAATCCCAGCTACTTGGGAGGCTGAGGCAAGAGAATTGCTTGACCCTGGGAGGCGAGGTTGCAGTGAGCCCAGATCACACCATTGCACTCCAGCCTGGGAAAGAACAGCGAAACTCCGTCTCAAAAAAAACCAGTTATATCTCGGAAAAAAATAGGAATTGTCCTATACATTGGGGTCAGTTACAACTTGATATTCACATTGAAAGGATTTTAACGTAACATGCATTCACAGCCGTACTCTTGAGTCATCAAAAAAGGTTTATTTTCAGAATTATGTGATTAGGTCATGGAAATGGGTAATACATTTCAGATTTTCTTCTTCTAGTAGAGTGAGTTTATACGTTGAAACAGCAAGTTAGATCAATTTATATGGGACATCCAAAATCCAAATGGAAACATTTTAAATATCAGTAAGAGTTAAATATTATAATAGTTCCAAGAATATAACAGAATTCAAGACTTCCATCAAGTTCAATGATCTTTAAAAAGGTGGTTGGGAAAGACAATTACACATTTTAGGAACCATTAAGTTCGAAGGTCTTTGGAATAGAAGCAAAAGACATGTATTTCTATGAGTAGACAGAAGATTTAGGTAGCAAGTGTAACTTGAACTAAGGTTGTGGTTGAGAAGATCAACTCTCTCTTTTTTTTTTTTTTTTTTTTTGAGACAGAGTCTTGCTCTGTCACCGAGGCTAGAGTGCAGTGGCGCAATCTTGGTTCACTGCAATCTCTGCCTCCCGGGTTCAAGCCATTCTCCTGCTTCAGCCTCCAAGTAGTTGTGATTACAGGTGCCTGCCACTGCGCCCTGATAAGTTTTGTATTTTTAGTAAAGATGGGGTTTCACCATCGTGTCCAGGCTGGTCTCGAACTCCTGACCTCGTGATTCACCACCCCCCCGCACCTCCCACACCCCACACCCCAACCTCCCAAAGTGTTGGGATTACAGGCACGAGCCACCACACCCGGCTGAGAAGATCAACTCTTTTAAGATACAGAGTCATTAATCTAAAATTTAATGTGTCCCACCAGTGTCAGCAAAACTAATCTTGTTAGCCTGCTTAGCAAACATTCCTGAGTCATAAAGAACTTCACCTAACTAGGGTGGTTAATTGTATTCCTTGATGGATAAACGATCCTTTAGCTTTGGGAAGATTTAGAATTAAGTACAGATGCTCCTCAACTTATGATGGGGATACATCCCAATAAACCTATTTTAAGTTGAAAACATTATAAGTTTAAAATGCCTTTAATACCCCATTAAACCCACTGTAAAGTCAAAAAATCATAAGTTAAGCCATTGTAAGTCAGTGATCGTCTGTATTAAACACATTTAACAGCGGTGGTTTGAATATTTGTATCCCCTCCAAAATTCATGTTGAAACTTCATCCCCAAGTCCGGGCACGGTGGCTCACGCCTATAATACCAGCACTTTGGGAGGCCGAGGCGGGCGGATCAGAGGTCAGGAGATCAAGACCATCCTGGCTAACACGGTGAAACCCCATCTCTACTAAAAAATACAAAAAAATTAGCCAGGCGTGGTGGTGGGCACCTGTAGTCCCAGCTACTGGAGAGGCTGAAGCAGGAGAATGGCGTGAACCCGGGAGGCGGAGCTTGCAGTGAGTCGAGATAGCGCCACTGCACTCCAGCCTGGGCGACAGAGCAAGACTCTGTCTCAAAAAAACAAAACAAAACAAAACAAAAAAAACAAAAAAAAAAACCTCATCCCTATTGCAACAGTATCACCTTTAGGAGGTGATTGGGCCACAAAGGCTCTGCCCTCATGGATGGAATTAACGCCCTTATAAAAGGACCTGAGGGAGTGAGTTTGGCCCCTCTTGCCCTTCTATCCCTTCTGCCACGTGAAGACACAGCAGTCCTCCCATCCAGAGGATGCAGCAACGCGGTGCCATCTTGGAAGCAAAGAGCAGCCCTCACTAGGCACCAAACTGCCTGGACTTCCCAGCCTCCAGAAGTGTGAGAAATAAATTTCTGTTCTGTGTAATTACCCAGTCCCAAAGTATTTTTATAGCTGCACAAATGGCATGAGACAGAAAAGATTTAGAATAAAAACACTTAAGAGAATCAAAACTATAGTTGGGGAAAGCCTCATTGAGAAGATGGTATTTGGGTAAAGTCCAACGGAAGTAAGAGAGTCATGTGGGTGTCTGGGGAAAGAGTATTTCAGGCAAAGGGAAAAGCAAGCGCAAAGGCCCTGAGGTGAGCAGTGGGGAAGCAATGGGATATGGAGTTAGAAAGGGAAAGCAGATCATGAGAGAAGTAGGACATAGTGAGACCAGATGCTGTAAGGCTGCATAGACTATTATGGAGCTTTTGGCTTTTAAACTGCGTAAGATGGGGAGCCACTGACCAATTTTGAGCACAAAAATAACAAAAGTTTCATTCAAGGGAATCAAACACATCAAATCCTTTAAATATGATTAACATATCATTGTGTCACTGAGTTAAATCTATTAGACATAGTTGTATCTAAAAATTAGATTTAAATGATACAGGATGAATCAATATTACTCTATCTTACAAAGTTTTTGATGGCCTCAAATCATTATCAACAGCAAAGCTGGTGATTTCAGGGCTTGGAGATAAGGGTTAGTGGCTTGGCCTCCTTCCTGGAGTCCCTACTCATTATGCCTCCTGCTGACATTTTTGAGCACAATCCACCCAGACACCCATTTGGTCAAGGGCCCTAAGCCAGATTCTCACTTCCCAGTTGCCACTTGTGTGGCCAGAGAGGTTCCCAGGAATAGACATCTGATCCCTGCTTATCAGGGACGGGCTCTTGCTCCAGTCCACAAATGCATCCATACCTGAGGCATGGAGGAGATTAAGACTGGAGCAGAAGCTTGCTGGGGATTTTGGAGGCTTTCCTGAAAAAGATCAGTTAAGGTTTTCAGAGCAGGGAAGCGCTGTGTAAGATTGGCCCTTCTAAAGACTCCTCTGGAGGTACCTTAGGAGGGAAGGCAGGACGGGAACAGGAGGTCCTGGGTGGCTATGGTCACCCTGGCCTAGAGGTGAAACGCCATGCTTCACACGTGTTCCCTCATTTGCAAAGTGGAATTACCGTCAGCCTAAGTGGTTGTTTTATGTGAAATTAAGTGAAATAATTCATATAGGTGAAAGCACTCCATTTAAAGTTGTGCAAATATAAAGGTTTATCTAGCATAGTGATACTGACGTGTGGTTAGAAGCCCACCAGGTGTGTGTGTAAATGTACCGCTTCCAAACGCGTCTCATAATGATGTGAAGTAGGGCCATTGGAACAATCAGCGATAAATAAGCGCATCTGAAGGGGAAGGGAACAAGCCGCTGACTAACTCACAAAAGAGGCGGTCCGCATGGGTAGAGATGAGCATGTACGGTTCCGTCCAGAAGCAAATAGTTGGAGCTCAACATTGGTTAGGCGCGGTGAGTTCGCCCTCGGTTTTCTAAGCCCAGATGTCGCATCTCGACATGAAACCAAGGATGGAGGCTGTACCGAGAAATTCGGGCTACTGCCCTGGGAGCCAGGTTCACCGGCAGCGCCCCTGGCCGCGCCCGCAGAGGCTCCGGCTCCGGCCCGGGCCCTGCCCTCCTCGCGCGCCCCCCCGGCGGCCGCCCGTTTTTGCGCCGCGCAGCCCGAGCCCCTCCGGAGTTCGCGGCGCCCGACGGCTCCAGACACGCCCGGCGCCGTCCCCGCCGCCTTCCCGCCGCCGCCGCCAGGAGGCTCCGCGCGCCTTCCCGCCTTTCCCCGGGCCGGGCCGGGCGGCTAGGCGGGCGCGGGCGGCGACGGCGCGGCCATTGTCCCGCAGCCCCTCCCGGGCGCGCAGGAGGGGCCGGCCTGGCGGGCTGGGCGGCGCGGGGAGGGGCGGCCGGGAGCCGGTGCCCACGATCGCCCGCCGCCGCCACGGGCTCGGCCCGCCGCCGCCGCCCACGCCTCCTCCGTGGCCGCCCACGGCCCTCGGAGCCGGCGCCGCCATATGCCGCCGCTGCGCCCGGGCTGCAAATGGCGCCCGCTCGCCTCGGCGCCTCCCGCCGCGTTCCCGGCCCGGGGGACGTCTCGGGGAGGCGCGCCCAAGGCGCCCGCATCCCAGCACCGCCGCCGCCAGGCGGCGTCAGAACCCGCGGCGCCTCCGCCCGCGGCGGGCTGCGGCGGGTCGGGCGGCCCCGACGCCCGCCCGCCCGCCCTCGCACCGGCGCGCGCGCCTCGCCGCAGGCCTCGCGGCGCCTCCGCCCGCGGCCAGGCTCGCGGCGGGTCCCGGGCAGCCCCGACGCCCGCCCGCCCGCCCTCCGCCGGCGCCGCGCGCCGCCACTTACCGCGGGCCGCGGCGCACCGGCCGGTCGCGCGCGCCGGCCGGGGAAGATTCCTGGTTCTCGGCTGGGGAAGGACCCCCTTTCGAGGCCGTTCCTTTGCGCCCTAAAACAAGTAGCCCCAACGTGAGAGAAACAAAAGGTATTTGCTGACGTGGGCGTTGGACAGAAACGCCCGAGGGCTGGGGACACAATTAAAGGGGCAACGCACAGATTTCAGGCACCAACCAGCAGCTTCGCCCACTCCCCCTGCCCTTGCCCACACCCGCTGCACGCTCCAGAGGCACCAGGGTGCCCAGATTCTCTAGCAGTTGACTGCGGATCATGATTTTAGTCAGGAGCTGAAATTTAAAATTGTACTTTACGTTGGGAAAGGCGCCTCCGGAGGGCAGAAGGGCTGGATTTCTAGGATCTGGGGAATTTGGTTTAGGAAAGAGGGAGGGACTTAGGCGTGCCCACAATTACTGTATAAGTACATGTGACATTATTGTACTTAAGTTTAGCAACGTCAAATGCAAAAGATTTCCACAGAATTTTCCCTTGTATTGAAGCAGTTATTTTAGTTGAGGATAACCTTTTCTAAACCTCTACAGGTCAGAAGCATTTCATTTCAAGAGGAAAACCCAGAGAAGCTAAGAGAACATAATTCTTAGTTTAAGTCCAGAGAAATACAAAATTAGTAAAAACAGCAAGTTCCGTCTTTTCCAATACAAGCATTCATTGTATACCAAGCTTCCTCTGACAAATTTACATCTCTAATATTTAGAGTACAGATATCAGGTTATACATTTGCTAACATAGTAAATCAATGGATTTTCACTTACTATAGAAGCATTACTTCTATAAATTAGTTTCCTACTTCCTTATGCTGGGGTCAGGTACTGAAAAGTACTGTGTTATAGTAAAACTGGAGGAAAAAGGTTCAAATGATCAAAACTTGGGTTTAGCTTTTTTTTTTCTTTTGAGACGTAGTCTCACTCTGTCGCCCAGGCTGGAGTGCAGTGGCCGGATCTCAGCTCACTGCAAGCTCCGCCTCCCGGTTTTACGCCATTCTTCTGCTTCAGCCTCCCAAGTAGCTGGGACTACAGGTGCCCGCCGCCTCGCCCCGCTAGTTTTTTGTATTTTTTAGTAGAGACAGGGTTTCACCCCGGCTAGTTTTTTGTATTTTTTAGTAGAGACGGGGTTTCACCGGGTTAGCCAGGATGGTCTCGATCTCCTGACCTCGTGATCCGCCCGTCTCGGCCTCCCAAAGTGCTGGGATTACAGGCTTGAGCCACCGCGCCCGGCCAGGGTTTAGCTTTTAATGGATTCCTCTCCTGTTCATAATCAGTCATATTGGACAGTTTGTAACTTTGATTTCAGGAATAACTGCATTTTGAGGCTGCGAGATCTTCACAATTGTCTCTTAATGTCACTTCTGTGTCACTGCAGAGGTGCTTTGCTATTTAGTTGTGTTTCCTCGCCTTCTGAACAGGTAAGTAGAAATATATTTGAAAACCATTAGGTATCAGGAATGTTGGATGTACTCAGATTACTCTGCTAGCGCCCCCCAATGAGAATTCCCCCAGAAAGACCTGGACATGGTTATAGCCAAAGGTTTAATTTTAGCCTTAATTAAAGATTAATGCAAAAGAGTTCCACAAACTTATTCCTCAAGAGAGCACATCAGGTTGGTGATAAACTCTTCGTTGTGGCCGGGCGCGGTGGCTCTCACCTGTAATCTCAGCACTTTGGTAGGCCCAGGCAGGCGGATCACGAGGTCAGGAGTTCAAGACCAGCCTGGCCAACATGGTGCAACCCCGTTTCTACTAAAAATATAAAAAGTAGCTGGGCATAGTGGTGCGCACCTGTAATCCGAGCTACTGGGGCAGCTGAACCAGGAGAATGGCTTGAATCCAGGAGGTGGAGGTTGCAGTGAGCCGAGATCGTGCCACCACACTCCAGCATGGGTGACAGAGCAAGACTCCATCTCAAAAACAAACAAACAAACAAACAAAAAACTTTGTTGCAAGGAAGAGGTAATGAGAGTTTTGTCCCTCATCTTCATCTTCATTCTGCTAGCTTTGAGAGCTTGTTTCTCTATGCTGGGGCTCCATCATTAACCAGTGCTAGTCTCTTAAACTCTGACTGCCACCCTACCCCACCCCCATCCCTGTTTCCACCTCTTCAGTTCAAATCTTGAGGAAGATAATCCATTCCAATTTTTTTTTTGGTTTTTTTTTTGAGACAGAGTCTCCCTCTGTTGCCCAGGCTGGAGTGCAGTGGCAGGATCTCGGCTCACTGCAACCTCCACCTCCCAGGTTCAAACAATTCTCTGCCTCAGCCTCCTGAGTAGCTGGAATTACAGGTGTCCACCACCACGCCCGGCTAATTTTTGTATTTTTGGTAGAGACGGTTTCCCCAGGTTGCCAGGCTGGTCTTGAGCTCCTGACCTCATGATCCACCCGCGTCGGCCTCCCAAAATGCTGGGATTACAGGCTTGAGCCACTGCGCCCGGCCCCATTCCAATTTTAACAGTGCCTGCTAAGGGTAAAGTTTTTGCTCTAGGCTCTTGGAATGCAGTGGTGAGCAAAAAATTCACCAAGTCCCTGCTTTTATGGGATTTGCAGTCTAGTGGGGGAGACAGATGGTAATCAAATAAATGTATAGTTTGAAAATTGTATAAGTCTGAAGGAAAGGTATGTTGTGTGATGAGAATATTGATGAAGTGGGGACCCGTCTCATGAGGGAGGGGGTTTGTACAAGGAGGGCTTCCTTGAGGTTATCTTGACTGGAAATCTGGAGTAGGAATTAATAGGCAAGCGTGTGAGTGGTCAGGAGCATTCCAGATAGAGGGAGCAAAATGGTGCTTGGTAGATGGGAATATGGCATAAAAGGCTGATGAGGGTGGAGTACAAGGTGAGGGGGAGAGACAAGAGATAAGATGGGAGAGGGAGGCAGGGGTCAGACCATCAGGGCCTTATGGGGCCAGGTTAAGAACTTTGGGAGCCATTAATGTGTTTTAAGCTGCATGGGGTGTGTGTGCTATGACGAGGTAAGTGTTTTGAAAAGATGACTGTGGAAGATAATTTAGAGGGAAGGAAGAGTGGATCACCGTGGCCCAGCTAAGAGATGGTGGAATCTTGAACTAGACTGGAGGTAGAGGAGGTAGGTAGAAGTGGGGAGATCAAGTGAGGTGGAGAGTTAAATATTAGAGATAATAGGTTGACTCTGGGAAATGAGGGAGAAGGAAGAGTCAAAGACAACTCCCAGCCTTTTGGAACTGGACAGATGGTGGTTCTGTTCACTGAGAGAGAAAGGACTAGAAGGCCAGAATTTTTTAAAATTTTAAATTAAAAAAACAATTCCTACTTGAACCCAGGAGGTAGAGGTTGCAGACAGCCGAGATCATGCCACTGTACTCCAGCCTGGGCAACAGAGTGAGACTCCGTCTGAAAAAAAAAAGAAAAGAAAAAAGAAATTTCATCATCAAAGTCATATAGGTGGGACAGGAATTAAAACCATGGATATGGATAGAGAATATAAAATGAGAAGAAAAGAAGGCTTAGGACCAAACATTGAGCTATTTCCTCATCTAGTGGGTGGTTAGAGGAAGGTGAAATTGCAAATGAGTGTGAGAAGAATGGAAAGGAAGGAAGAGACCTGGGATAATGTGGTGGCATAAAAACTAAGAGAAGAGTCCGGACACAGTGGCTCATTCCTGTAATGCCAGCACTTTGGGAGGCTGAGGCAGGAGGTTGGCTTGAGGCTAGGAGTTCCAGACCAGCCTGGACAATATAACAAGACTCGGTCTCTACAAAAAAATCAAATAAATTAGCTGGGCTTGGTTGTTTGTGCCTGTAGTCTTAGCTACTTGGGAGGCTGAGGTGGGAGGATCGCTTGAGTCCAAGAGCTTTAGGCTGCAGTGAGCCATGATGGCATCACTGCACTCCAGCCTGGGTGACAGAGCGAGAACTCAACTATAAAAATAAGGAAAAAAGGAAGAATTGGGTAGTAGTGCTAAATATTGCTAAGAGAACAAACCTAAAAGAAAATTACGTTTGATTACATTTGACAAGTTGGAGATCATTGACATTTGACAAGTTGACATTGACAAGTCAATTTGAGATCATTGACTTTAGAGAACATGATTAAGCTTAAAAGATGGGGTGGATATCCAGATTAGAGGAATAAGTGGAGGATGAAGGAATAGAGATGATGAGAACAGACAATTCCTCTCAGAAACTGGTTTATAAAGGGGATGTTCCAGTTATTTTTACTGTGTAATAAACCAAACCAAACGTACTAGTAGAAAACCGAAACGGTTTTATCGTGCTCCTGGATTCTATGGGTCAGGTCACAGCAGGGGTGGCTTAGTTTTTTTTCCTCTGTTGTCTGGAGCCTTAGCTGGGAAGACTTAAATGACTGGGGGTAACTTGAACTACTAAGAACTGGAATCATCTGCAGGTTTCTTCGCTCAAAGTTTTGGCACCTAGGCTGGGATCACTGGAAGGTTGGCTCAGCTGAGATTGTCATCTAGAGCACCTACCCTTGCCCTCTCTGTGGGGCTGGGGCTTCCTGCAGCATGGCAGCTGGGTTCTGAGAGAGTGTGTCCAAGAAAGGTAGGAGGGAGCTGCATGACTTTTTCTGCCTGTCTGTGGAAGTTGTCACAGCCTACTAAGATTCAAGCAGAAGGGGGACATAGTTGCTATCTCTAATGGAAAGAATGTCAGATAATTTGGGGTAATGTTTTAGAATTATTACAGGCAAAGAGAGATGGTGGTAGCTAGACGGGGATATGTGTAAAAGAATATATATATTTTTTGAGACAGCTGTCACTCAGGCTGGAGTGCAGTGACATGAACACGGCTCACCGCAGCCTTGACCTCCCAGGCTCAAGCAATCTTCCTGCCTCAGCCTCCCAAGTAGCTGGGACTACAGGTGCACACCACCATGCCTGATTTTTTAATTTTATGTAGAGATGGGGATCTCCCTATGTTGCCCAGGCTGGTCCCAAACTCCTGGGCTCAAGTGATCCTCTCACCTCAGCCTCCTGAAGTGCTGGGATTACAGGTGTGAGCCACCAAGCCCAGCCAGTAATGTATTATACAGCAATAGATCACTTATACAGATTATGGTAGCTAGAAGTGCTGCCATAACAAAAACCTGAAAATATGACTTTGGAACTAGACAGTAGGTGGAAGGGCTTTGAGGTGTTAATGAAAGCTCGAAGAATCTTCCAAAAAAAAATCGGCAACTTCTTGCTGGGTGCAGTGGCTCATGCCTGTAATCCCAGCACTTTGGGAGGCCAAGATGGGTGGATCACTCGAGGTCAGGAGTTCAAGACCTGCCTGGCCAACGGGGTGAAACCCCATCTCTACCAAAAATACAAAAATTAGCCAGGCGTGGTGGCAGATGCCTGTAACCC